AAAGAGAGGAGGGTATAGATTGTCGACAATTAATGGAAAGCCCCTTATTCTTTCAGACAAAGATGATGTATGGTGATAAGAACTAAGATGATGTATGGTGATAAGAACATTTGAGTAAAGCTTTTATTTGATTAGCATCTAATGCCAGCACAGATTTAAATATTTTAAAGGGTAATAATTTTCTTTTATCATTAAATTTTATTCAACTAGAGATGCATTATAAAATGTATAAACATATTCGGGTAAAATAGCCCTCATACTTTTAAGATTATCAAAATCTCTTTTGCTACTAGGTCTACTGTTTATGTAAATGGGGAGCCGTTGAAACATGTTCAGACTCACTAAAACTCCAAAACATTTTGTAAACTATGCATTAAATCTTATTTCATGCTAAAATGACTAGGAACTAAGTACTTTTGATTTATATTAGCACTAGTAAATGCAATTTACTATCGCAAAAGCAATAATAAATATTTGACAATAAGCATTTTTATTCTGATAGCCACAACCGTTGCTCCAATATATTTTTGTATCTTTTTGTTTGTGTTAAGCTCAGTTTTAAGCTGAAATATTCCCTTTAGTTTTGACCCAGACATAGCAACATTCATTTGGTTGCATAATGTAATATAGTGCAGTTGTAAAAGTGCATTTACTTAAACGCCGGAGTTTAGGCCGGAGTTTTATGACAAAAATGAGAGTTCACAATGTTGGTACATTGAATACTAATCTTTTATTAATTCTACTAGTTTTTAAATACCAAAGATTAAAAGTCTGTAAATGCCAACATTAATGATATTGCTGAACATAAAAAGCTGCTTACTAGCTGGTATACTCTTCACCTTTAAGCCTCTTTTTTTTACAATTAATTTTTTTTTTAATTTGCTCCATTTCTTTATTTTTACTTTTTCTGTTGTAAGCTTTAAACTAGAATGTGAAAAACCCAGTTCAGTTAACTGATGTTTATTGTAGCGTTCAGATAGCTGATTAAACTAATATGATCTGAATATATCTTTTGTATCATCAATTTCTGAATATATCTTTTGTATCGTCAATGATTTCCATTTAAAAATCTCTATTAAAATACCTTAAGAGTGATTCTAAATCTGTATTGACTTCGTTTATAGATTAACAATATTCTCGTTTATAGATTAATAATATTCTCGTTTATAGATTAATAATATTCTTTTTAGGTTGCTGTTGTATTTCTAATGCTTGTGTAAGGCATTCATTAAGAGATGAACTTATTACAAACGTCTTTGCTCTGATCAGGACGAAGCACTTCATCGTGTTCTTCGTAGTCATCATTTAAACATGGAAAAAAAAGGTGTTTGTATTAAATGCTTAGATCATTCAATTTATAAATGCAAAAATTAATTTCAGAATCACTGTAAAAATGTGACTTGTTGTGAATCTCAAATTACGGACAGCATTGAAATAAACAGAAAACAACTGTTATTTAATCGGTTTAAGATATTGACGATTCGCAAAATAATAAAAGACTTTCAAAGCTACTAACTCCAGTGAAAATCTATTAAAAAAAAATTATTGATGAATCCTGGATGCGTTATTAATTCCACAAAAGTCTATTCTCTTTGATATTTTTTGCATTCACAATATATTATTTACAAAGCAGAATCATTATAAAGTAGAATGACGGAAAACTGGCCCCAATAAAACCCATGAATTATAAAAAATTATGCGCTAAATTTTATATGAATAAAAGTAGAAACATGAAGTAAGGCTTTACCAACTAAAATAAAAATGGGTGTAATAACCTTATAGCTGGTTGTGGCAAAACTAAAACTTATATATTAAACAAGTATCAAATGCTATCGCAATTACTCTGTTGTAGTATAGGTTTAGACTCAACTGCTGATTTGGTCAACCGGTCATTTCATTATGGTTAGTCATTTATTTCATTATGGCTATTTCATTAGACCATTTATGAAATTACTAGGACTACGTAAAAAAACACATACTAAAACGTTTTAGTCTCTGTGTAATGAGGTTACAACTAATAATAATAACAATATATATTTTACAGACAGGAGGTGTTCCACTGTTATTAAGAGTGGTAGCCCTCCTATCAAAAATCAACATGGTTAGAAATCTAGAATTGAAAAAAGATGTTGATGATTTTAAAGCGAAGATGACCAAGGCACTTAAGGAGATGAAAACACAGATAGCGGTACTGTCTCAAGGCAACATGAAATTAGAATTGAAAATGCTAAACTAGTTGATAGGCTAGACAAGCTTCAAACCAACCTAGTTCAAACATTTGTAACAAGTAAAAAGTTTTTCTTAGTGGTTACATCAGATCCAGCTCGATCCATCAATGATGATGAATCAAATTGATTAAGCCAACATTATAAATGCAATTAGTAAAGAGACACAGTACAGAACAAAGAAAGAAATATAATTGTATTTGGGATTCCAGAATCAACCAAAAAAATGGAAATAGATAAAAAAAATGACAATAAGAAGGAAATAAAAAGAGTGTTTAGCTGTTTGAAACTTAACAATAGCAAAATCACAAAAATTCACAAGTTATATCAGTGAATAAACCAAATCCAATGAATATTGAATTAAAAAGCACAAAACACTAGGTAATGGTGTTGAACACAGCGTTTGTTACCAACGTACTGTATACATTAATCCTGATTTGTCACACGCTCAAAGAATTGTACGAAATCAAATAGCGGATTAGTGAAACCGCCTAAATGCTGCACGAATCGACATACCAACTTTGTACATCAGGGGTGGATCCAGGATTTTTTGGTGCTTGAGTTAAATAACTTTCAGGTAAATTCTAAACTCCAAACTTTTTCATGCTCATACTAATGTCATTTAAGAATGCTTTGCCGAAAATTGCGTTGATTAGAGTCTGGGAACAAAAATACCCTAAATAGTAGACATCACCCGCCCAAATGAGAGGGAAAATGATTTTTCGAAAAAAAAAAATTACTTCCTTTAATAAAATTCAAATCTGTATCTAAATTTAAAGTTTAATTAAAAAATCATATAGCCTTCAAAAGTTATAGCCATTTAAAGTTTAGAGCCCCCTCAAAACGAGGGAGTTGTAAATTTAAACTAGGTATAATTTCTAAACAACATAACATTTTTCAAAAAAAATTTAGAACCTCAACGATATTACCACCTAATTTAGGATATTAGAATTTTTATTTAGAAAAACCGATTCCCCCTCATTTGGGTGGGTGATGCCTACTTTTTAGTTTTTTTATGTTTCGAGGTTCTAATCAGCACAAATTTTGGCAAGTCTTCCTTATATGACTAAAGTATGAAAATACAAAAATTTGGAATTTAGAACTTGCCTGGAAGTTATATAACTCAAATACCAAAAAATCCTGGATCCGCTCCTGTACATCATCTAAAATGGAGAAGAAGCTATGATTAAAGTATCATCTGTATTTACGGCAGTAACAACAGCTTTAACAGACGGCCAATCAATATTAGCAATTCCAACAAATGCAAAAACTTCATCTGAACAGCTGGAACAAGTCAAGAAATCACAAATGCATAACAACCACAGTTTAAGCCACTCTATTCACCGACATCATGTTTAAAATTCTGGCATACCTACGCCACTTCCCCAAACAACAAAAGACACAATTTGAAGCTCGAATACAGGTGGATAATCCAAACATAATTATGATAACCAAAACATGGTTTAACGAGACATCAATAATAAATTTGGACGGATATATATATTACAAAAAAATAAATTAATAAGTATTTGTGGAGAGACTACAATCTATGTAAAAATATCTATTATAACCACAGGTGAATGTTACATGAAGGCTTGCAAAAAACTGTAGAACAGGTGTGGTTTATTGCCAAGCTATTAACTAAGGACCACATACTGCTGGGGTGTTTGTACAGCCCACCAAACAGAATTAAACCAAATCATGGAAGAAGCCAAAAATCTAGTGGATGGCAAAAAACGGTAGAACATGACCTCGGCGTGTTGATCTCATCAAAATGGCATTATCAAGTTAACGCAACAACAGCAAAAGCACAGAATGTACTCAGAGTCATCAAGCGTACCTTCACTCATCTAAATACAGAAAGGATTTGTACTCTGTACACAGTGCTAGTTAGACCTCACCTTGAATTTGCAATCCCTGTATGGAACTTTACTTTGAAAGGTGTCATTGAAACACTAGAAAAGATCCAACGTCGTACAACCAAACTGGTACAAAATCTCAAACATCTGTGTTATGAGGAGCGACTATCCAAAATGATTCGAACTTTGGATAGTCGCTCCTAAAAATTGACTCTTCAACAATATAAATCACATTACATGGCTTAAACAATAACGATTTGCACCGTCATTGCGAGCAAACGACCCAGCATCAGCAATAAGAGATTATAATTTAAGAATTGAAAAAAAAAAGTGAAGCATTCTTTGTTTCGACAAGCATTCTTTAGTAACCGTATTGCGAATGAACGGAATGCCGGAATGAACGGAACCGATTCACGTGGTAAACGCGCAGTCTTTGAACTCTTTTAAAGCAAATCTATTTAACTCTTTTTTTTATATATATATAACTTATTTTTTTTTTTTATATATATATATGACATATATATATAACTTTGATTTTTAACAATTTGTAAATTGTTATGAATAAAATAAAGAGTGGAGTAGGCTGTCATAACGCATATATAAACATAATTGTGTTTCACGATTTAACTTGCTACAGCATCTATATTACTTACTATTACATTAGGTCAGTTACATAAGATCATTAATGAAATTACTACATTCATCCAAAATTAAACAAAGAGTTACTAAAGTCATACAGAATTAAACAAAGGAAATTTTGAAAAATGATAGTGAAAACGGAAATTTAGACTTTAAAAAAATGCAGAAATTTTTAACTAAGTGTATTATATCTGGTATATGCTTAGTAGGGTTTAATTTTCTACCTTCTAAGGTAGAAAATTGTATGACAAATCATTATTTTTAGTATAATTTTCTACTTTGAAAGATAGAAAATTATATCTTAGTAAGGGTATATCAAATATACTACACTTAGTTAAAAATTTCTGCCTTTTATTTTAAAATTATGTTCAGCGCATTACAATGTTGTTGTCTGAGTTTAATAAGTTAGTTTATTCATTTAAAATATTTATAACTTAACTAGAAATGGTCACCACCACCGCAGCAACTCGTTTTCCCACTGTAAAAAATAAGTTTATTTTATTAAAACTAAATTTTTTTTGACCTTTTCCAACCTTTTATCAAAAACATTGCTGACTCTTTTCATTCCATACCTGGCGTTGTTGCTTTATAAAGTATATAACACAACAAGCATATTGTTGTATGCTAAGTATCTTTTGAAGTTTTCTTAAAATAATATTTATGTAGTCGATGAAACCACAAATAAATCCAAAACGTATTATGTTGAGACTTTGAGTAATGACGTATAGACAATATTTGTCAACGGAGATTATCTTTACGATTTCTGTAAAAGTTACAAATTTCTCAACAAACAGATAAACATTCTTATAATTTTAAGTTATCAATATATTTATCTTTTATTAAGTTTTTCAAGTAAATTATCAATTAATTAAAAAGAAACTTAATAAAATTGTCATTTGAGTACACCTTATACTTATTTTAGCATTTATGTGTTCTATATATTTTTCTAATTACTTGTATTTAATATATTTTCATACTTCTTGTTTTCCATGTTAGTAAAATTTTCATTAATTTTATTTAAATCAGTGTTGAAGATGTTACATCAAAAACCTTTCTTTTTTTTCAAATTTTATTTAAAAATCTTATTTTAGATGTTTCCATTATAATTACATCTTTTTTATATATCTTTAAAAATGTATCGTTTGTTGATTGAAAAATGTCTACTTTGTTTAATCTAAATTATTGGGTTTTTTCTTTAAAAATTTATCGTTGCTCAGTGGACAAAGTGGGCGTTACCGAGTATACCTGAACACTTTTCTGTAAACTTTTTTGTTTTCACCACAACTATGAATAAATATGAAGATCAGCTAAAAATAAATAAACTAAAAATAAAAAACTAATTAGAATAAATAAATTTACTAGAAAAATGATTCAAAGAGAGGCATAAAAACCTTTAATAGAGAAAAAGTTTTTAAAGTAAAGGTTTTAAAATAGTTAAAAAATGCTTTTTAAAACTTTAAATAGAGAGAAAAAAATCGATTATTTGTAAAAATGTATAAAAAAATACTCATAACAACAAAGTTTAAGGGCTTTAAAAAATTAACATCAAAGTATCATCAATATTTTAAAACTCTTTATTTAAAAACTTGAGTTGAGTTGAAACAACGGCAAACTAATATTTTACTCATGTTTGTGAAATTTGTTTACAAATAAAATGTTTTTGTTCTTGTTTTGGTATAACCGGAGCGGATTAATAAACAGTAAATTGGGTATGGATTCTAGTAGGGTCCATCAATACCCAACATAAACCCTGATCCGAAAAACAAAGCAGGTTTTGCTTTGGGTTTGGTTCCTGGCCTGATCAAATAACACTCATCTCTGGATCTTTTACTCACAGCCTTGTTTTAATTTCTTATGATTTTAAAAATATAAAAAGACGGAAAAGAAGTTCTTGCAAAAAATAAACGGTCAATAATCAATCTTTTTATTTTAAACACAATTTAAAATATTTTTTTATACAATGTTGAATCAATAAAATACTTTATTTTTTGTTATATATACATCTTTATTTACAATTTTGTACTATTTTGTATCTAGGATTTTTTGAAAATATTTAAAAACTGAAAGCAAATGGTACTTGTATAAGAATTAATAAATTACGAACCATTTTGATTTCACAGTTTTTTATTAAGAACATTTTAAAAGCAACTTCAAGAATGCTTTTCTTTTGCTTTTCAATAAAGACATTGTTGTCAATTTCTGTGTTGAATACAACCCGGTCTTCTTTCTTTTTAAATACCGTTTCATTTTAATGTACTTTTATCTGTCCACTCAAGACTATCGGATACATATTTTATATTTGTTGTACATCCAGGCGGAAGAAACTGATTTCCAGTGATAGATAAGTTTATATTGTCGCTTTCCAAAAAATCAATTTTGTTTTTAGTTTTTAGCAACTCTTTTAGATCCTAGATTAACAGAATAATCAAAGTATATTAAAATATCAGGTATTAAAAGATAAAAAATCAATTAACTAAAATTAAAATTAATAATAATAATAATTAATAACAAATATCTACAAGATACCTATTTAGTACTTTTATAATTTTCGATGTACTACGCGTACAACGCATCCGAACAATAAAAACGTTAAATCTTAATACTAATGCACATATGACTGTTATTTGTTCACACATAATCCATACACAAAAATGAAAATAAAAAGAGTTAATAAAAGATAAATAAGTAGATAGGGTGAAAAAAGTGGATATGTACACGTGTACACGTTGTACACGTGTACTCGTTGTACACGTGTACACACATGTACACGTTGGGGCCAAATGATGTTCCTAAGCTGTGGTAAATGTAACTTAAGAAAATAAATGGAAAAATCTTATATATAATTTAATTGTAGGTGAGGTTAGAAGAAGCTTATAAATGGATTGCTTTTTTTTTTTGTTGTTTATTTAAGTACTTCCAGAAGCCCATACGGTCTTATTACAGAGGGCAACAGAGCATAAGACAAAGAAGTAAAAAGCATTTAACAAGGAAGCTCACGCCTCCTTCTATATTAATGACGTTTATTGAGCTAGAGCTAGCATCGAACCATGGACCTCTTCGTTCTGAACCAGTAATCTAACCATTGCGCCGCAGCTGCTTAAAATTTAGTGGCTTTTAGTGGTAGTATCATAATAAAACTACTTCGTTTAGATCTTTAAAACAGGGTAACGCTAGCAATGTCATATTGCAATAAATACAAAATAAAACCACATGTGTGATTTGGACAGGTTTCTATTGTGCCACACAATGAAAACCCACCTAAACCACACGTGTGGAACCATGGGTATTAAACTTAAAACATATATGAACCAAATGTTAAAAAGATTTCTTCCAAATAGTTTAATATAGGTTTGTTTAAATTTTTTCTTTTTTATTATTTATTAAAAAAATTAAATAAACATTAATTAAAGCATTCTAAAATTTAAAATTTGAAGCAACAAAAAAAATTAAAGGTAAAAAAAAAAAATCGAGATTATGTTTATAAAAATATGATATACTTAGCAAATTTTTTTTTAAATTGTATCTGACAAGACGTGAAGCTCAAACAAAAGCGAACGTACTTTTTCAGATAGAGGTCGTATAGTGCGCAATGATTTAAAAAATTAAAAATTTTAATGTTTTATAAATAAAAAATGTTTTTACAAAAAAAAAAAAAACATTATAAAAGCTTAATAATAGACAAAGAGTAGTAAACAAAAATTACCTTAGATATGTTAACTAACAGCCTTGAAGTTGCTATGGATGTACTAGAGTCAATATGAACATTATCGAGCTGAATAAATTTTTGCGTGAAATCTCTCTTGTATGTGTAAGTATCTTTTGCGCTCGACGCAATAACAAAAATGTTGTTAAAGTTTTTTATGCCACGTTTCCTTCCTTTTGTGACTTCATCAATAATATGACCAGCGTGATTCTGGTCTGCAATAATTATTATATCTTTTGCACCACAATTTTCGAGAGGACTTAAAAGTTTGTTGATTGATAGTTTGCCAAAATCACTTGCGGTGCCGTCTTTATTTTTATCCCACAACAGTATATCACCGTTTCGTAATGTAGGACCATTTAGATATATGGTTAAGGTATCAATGCAGTGCTCATTAAGTTCACATACGTGTTTCAAATGATTACTAATGACATTAGAGTCATCAGCAGGAAGAGTATCTTGTGTGTTTGGATTGCCATCAACTAGACAAAAACAAAAAACTTTTGTTGAAAAAAAACAGCTTATGACAGCTAAGAAAAAAATTTTTATAAAAAGTTTACTAAAAACAAGATAGAAAGAGGGTGTTTACGAAAGTTCGGAAAGAGGGTGTTTATGTAAGTTCGGAAAAGTATTGGTAAGAAGTCGGTACAATATTGGTACAAAAGCTAAATTGATTGAGAAGTAAATCTAATAATTAAATATCATAGAAGTTACACCGTAACTAAACTTTCCGCCTCTTATCTTTTTATAGTTAAAGTTCAATAAAATTTTTAGAATAGATTAGCATAATTAGAATTTTTAGAATAGATTAGCAGAGGATCATCCAACAAACTATTTACCGACAAAATATGTTTTACCAAAAAACTGTTACAAATAATTTCAGAACATTAAACTCGTAACGAAATGCTATTTTATTTCAAAAGCATGTGAAAAATAAAATTAAAAAAAAAAAAACGGTGAAAATGAAAACGTTGGTTTTTAAATGAAAATCAATAGATTTTTTTAACACATAGTTCATAACACGTGGTTTATAACACGTGGTTCATTTTATAATATATACTTTTTATAAAAAATCTGAGATTTTTACCGTGCACAAGAAGGTTTGGAGAAAGGAAGAAGCATTACAATAACTAAATAAAATTATAAAATACTTTAAAAAGTTTAAAAAAGATTTTAAGCAATAAACTTACGATCTATTGTAGAGTTATTTGCAAAAAAGATTCTGATATTTTTATCATTGTATCCTTTATTTTTCAAATATTTAAACATATCTTTGATGTTGTGTAAATGTCGAACAGATTGCGTATGTTTGTCCCAACCTCCAAAAATCATTAAACCATAATCGCATTTCCACTTACAAGATTCTTTTAAATGATTTGAAGGTTGTTCACATTTAATTGCATTATTGCATCGAGTGTCAGATTGAGCATGAACTGTTGGACATGATGCAAAACCTTCTAGTTCGTCCATGCATTGTAATTTGTTTTGTAGTTCCAATGAAGCTTTTTCATACACTTGAGGCAAAAAAGTTACTGTGCAAGACGTTTTAAAAGCATCGCCACTAAGTTGCTTGTGAATAAGGCATTTTTTTGTATCCGGAAATACTAAACATTCTGTAACACCGCCTAAAAGATAAACGGAAATGATTGGTTTACAAAAAACCTCAAATATTAATTTTCATTGAAATTTTTTAAGTTTGTTCGGTTCATATTTTAAAAAATATTTAATTTTTTTATCTTTTTTTTTCTTTTAAGCATCTTTTTCTTTAGGTTAATATTATATTAAAAACTATTTTATTAAGTAATATTCTTTAAGTATCTTCAAAAATGTTTGCAAAATTTTTCAATTTTAATAAGTTGGTACAAACGCGTATTTGTCAACTCACGTTCTAGGATTTTAATTAACCCAATTTAGGGCGTGGGGTGCATTAAATAAACATTTTAAAAAATAACGCAAGAACAATTTGTATAATACCTTGGTTGTAATAGCTTCCTTCTTTGTTGTCACACTCTGTTTTTGAAAGACCTGCATAGCTTAAAATCAAAACAAGTGTGTGCCCAAAATGTGCTTCAGGAATAGGGTCAACAACTACTACTGCTTCTAACTCAGTAAATTCGCGATGAAAGTATTCTGTCATCACTGCATTAAGCTGGAGCTGTTTTTTTGATGCCATATATATCCTCATTTGGTGTCTATACCGGCGTAAATTGCTACAGTCTTCGATTCCCAGTAAATCTTTACAGCCATTTGTTTCATTGAGCTTTTTTTTAATAAGGTTATAAGCTTGTCGTGCGCGCTCGTTAGCGCTGTTGTCAACTTTTCTACGGTCTATGCCACAGAAAACCGTACTCCAACACCATATTACAAAGACGCACTTTAAAAGAAGATTCATTGAATATAGACAAAACGTAAAAAGTTCCAGGTACACCTACTTTCTCTCTGCTTCACTTTATTTGAATTGTATAACCTTGAAGACGGCCATTAAAATACGCTGAGTTAAATACGCGGCAAAGATTTGACACTATTGTGTCGGTTTCTTTGATTTAATCAACGCTAAAGGTAATTTAACTTCTTTTTTTTCTAATTACTTTGAGAATAAAGTTCAAGGTAGTGCAATCACATCCTTTTAACTCCAATCTTATTACATTTGCAATACTTCTATAAAAACAGATGAAACACAAAAAACTAAGTGTGCAACAAGTAAAGAAAAAATATTTACGTTACGAAGCAAAACGTTCATGTAAACAAACCGGCACTAACAACAAAAAACAACATTCATAATCACATTTTATTGTGATTTACCACACGCATGTACAATACATACTAATAGACGCATTATTCGAAGGAGGGAAACATTTAATGTTTCCAAGATCTTTCAATGATTAAACAATTGCCGAAATCATGTTGCACCTTATGTTGTAACAAAAGCCGAGTTGTCGGTATGAAGATATTGAACGTAGCTGTTAGAAAAAAACTCTCCACCCATAAACAATTGCATTCAACGTTATGAATAGACAATCTTTTTAGTACTTTCTATCGGCTGTTAAAATACGATTTAGTTAATGTGGAGCTAATTAATACCATCTCGATTTACGTTTCTCGTATATCGATAAAAAAATTGTATTGTGTTGCGCTTTCTTAAAAAATTGTAATTATTTTTTTAACGTTTAACATTTTTGTTTGTATAACTATTTTTGTTTTTATTATTATCATTTATTACTATTAGATCAATATACTAGAATCAAATTAAAAAAAATAAACAACAACATTTTCATAGTATAACATCTAGTTACGGCAAAAAAAAAAAAAAAAAACGTCCTAAGTGAATGTTGACGTTCGTGGACAACGTTGACAATTGTGGTGAACTTTCAAAATGGCTAAACAATTGTGATGACGCAAAAAATCGGGGTGAATAATTATCCGCAAAATAAAACGTAAAATTAGCATGAAACTCTTAATTCATTCACATTTAAGATATCCACGTATAATTTAGAAGGACATGTGACTTTATGTTTTTTTGCTTTAACAATAGGATTTTTATTTTTTTATTTTTTTCAAAATATAAAATGACGTTGTTAATTAAAAGGGTTTACCAAAATTTCATTTATAAATCCGATTAAGCTTTATGGAGATTTCTTTGATTTAAAATATATTTAAAGACAAGTGGTTGTTGTCACTCTTTAAAAAAAAAATATGTTTATTTGTGATTCGAGTTAAGTCTTTATTGGATTAAACTCGCTGTAAAAATGTAAAAAATAACAAAACAATAAAAAAACCACGAAATAAGTCTGCGACAATAACTTGATTTAAAACCGTGCATAACGCAGCTTAAATTCCACAACGATAAGTTTCTGATGTTTTAAAATAGAAATAATATAGTGTGTTATAGTAAAACGACAACAACGTTATAGACAACAACGACAACATCAACAATAATAATAACAATAATAACAACAATTACATCAATAATAATATTATTAACAATAATAGCAATAATAATAATAGCAATAATAACAATAATAGTATATATATATATATATATATATATATATATATATATATATATATATATATATATATATATATATGAGGTGAACCTACAAATAAAAAGAGGGGCGATTAAACCTCAAAAAGTACCGACTGCCTTCCTAAAAAAAAAAAAGGTCCTCAATACGAAAATTTAACCGACTGAATAGTGTCAAATACCCGACTAGCCGACTAAATCAAGAAATTTTAAATTTCATATAAAAAATTTTAGTGTTCAAAAATTATGACCATATAAAGTTTAAACCCCACTCAATTTTAGGGGGTTGCAAATTTTATACGGTCATAATTTTTGAATGCTGAAAAACTTTACTATGAAATTTTAAATTTCTCGATGAATATAAGTCTAGTTGAAAATAGTACAAAAAATATTTCATCAACTTGTTGCTCTCACGTTTGGAGCAGGTAGGGCTAAGATTTTAGGGTTTCTTGTTCCCATTCTCCTATCAAAATAATTTTTTTTTAAAGAACCTTTTTGTCATACATATGAACACGTGTGTGTGTGTGTATGTGTGTGCATATATCTATATATATATATATAATATATATATATATATATATATATATATATATATATATATATATATATATATATATATATATATATATATATATATATATATCAGTAGTTACATGGCAATATGTTGTATCTAGCATTTTTTTGTTTTTGAAGTTAAATTACTTAAAAATGTGTAATATTTGATGTGGAAAAAGGATATTTTGACTTTTTATATCTAAATTTTGACTATTTATATCTAAATTTTGACTATTTATCTCTAAATAGTCAAAATAAAGAGATAAAAAAATATGTAACTTATTACCATCTAGAACTATTGTTTCATCAACACGGAAAAAAGCCTTAACTTTAAATACATCTAAACTAAGTTTTAGTTAGATACAGCCATATAACTACCAGTGATGTACTCTTGTGGTTGTCCGGTGGCACGGGACTACTCGTTTTCTCCAAGGGCGACTGGATTTAAAAAAAAATGCCTATCAGTACGATCAGACAATTTGTTAATTTTAAAAGAGTGATTATTAATAAAACTATATTTTGATTTATAACGATTTTTATTCATTGTAATTATTTAAAAGAAAACTCTAAAAAACATTTAAAGTTGTTTAAGCGAAGGCAAAATGCAGAATCCGGAAAAATATTTGGTCTTCAAAACTTATTTAGTTTATGCAAAACCGTTTAATTTGTTTTTTAAGGGCGAATCAACTTAATTTTGTTAGCGAAAAAGTTATAAAAAATAAAACAATAAACTTACAACTACAAAAGTAATAACACTCTAGTAACTAACTGCATTATAAAAGTAATAACACTAAAAAAGTATTATTTAATTATTACTTTTATAACTCTCTTATAACTTTTATAATTCAATCTTTGTTCAAACAACATAAGAAATTTAATTGAAGTAAAAAATTTAATTGAAGTAGAAAAGCATCTAGAAAAATAGTGTTATTAAAAATAGTGTTAAAAGTTATTAAAGAACTTAAACAACTTATAAAAAACGCACTATATAAAATGTGCTTAGCATTATGAAATACGTTACTAATGGTCCGCGTTAAATTTAAATTAACTAATCAAAACTTTTTATTGGTTGATTTTAAAATTAACCCGCGTTTTTACAATGCTAAACTTTTTATTAAGTACGTTGTTATAAAGTTATTTAAGTGTAATTGCATAAATTCCTAAAGTTTTTAATAATCGAATATCCACTTTATTTGTTCTAGATGCTTATCTACTTTGATTAAAGTTTGGAATTACTAATGTTGTTTGAACAAAGAATGAACTTTAAAAGTTACGTGCTTTATAAAAGTAATAACACTATTAAAGTTTTATTACTTTTACAATGCAGTTAGTGACTAGAGTGTTATAACTTTTGTAGTCGTATGTTTGTTGCTTTGTTTTGTTTTTTTATAGCTTTTACGCTAACAAACTTATAATAATTTGCTGCTTGAAAACAAAGTACACGACTTTGCATAAACTAAAATTTTTAAAAAATCGTTAGTTTCACCTGAGAAAAAATACCAAAAAATACCCTTTTACACCGGAATACTGATTTTCATAGCGGATAACTCAAATAAAAAATAAGTCAACCGGAGGTTTTGACTCTCGGAGCCAAAACCGACTTTAAGGTCGACTTTAAGGTTTCCACTGACTACCGATGTAACGTAATTAAAAATTTTTAGGCAAGTTTCCACACATTCTTTTTTTCCATGGAAACAGGAAATGGCGATGAATAAGTAACCGCATGAGCATGCGCAGTATAAGTTTTAATTGCTCACGTGATTATTTTTTCCTTCCTCTCTCCGTTCCCGTAGGAAAAAAAGGATTAGTGAGAATTGACCTACATAATTAAAGCTACTTCCTCTTTCTATATTACCAACTTTTATTATTTTCTTACCCTTTTAAACCGTTACTAAAAACATAAAATTTAAGGATGGGTATCATTTTTTTATATATTAGGATGTTTACAAAAAAATTAAAGGTCTTATCACAGAGCACTGTGGAGGAATTTAACCAGAAAGTTCACAACTCCTTCCTTAAAATGTTGCTTCTAGGGCTAGAACCAATATCAAACCTCGAACATCTTATACCCCATGCGCAATTGCTGTTTAATTTGTCCTATTGTAGTTTTGGATTTATTATACAACTAAAAATTTAAAAAAGTGCTATATTATCAACATTAGCAGCATCATCAGCACGCCAACTGTATTAATTCATAATCGGAAAAGTACCGTTTATAGTTGCACACTCCTAATACAATGTAAAAAATTTATACAATTAAAAAAAATACGATATTGATTTTTCACTTATACTGTTTATAAATAATGATAAAACAATTTTTTGATGTTTCAAAAATTCGTTCTGACAATTGTTTAACTTTAAACAATGAAGCATAACCTTGCATATATATATATATATATATATATATATATATATATATATATATATATATATATATATATATATATATATATATATATATATATATATATATATATATATATATATATATATATATATATATATATATATATATATATATATATATATATATATATATAGGGTAACGCGGGGCAAAATGAGACAGCGGGGCAATATGAGACAGTTCGCGTTTATCATGATGCCAGCCCTACAAATTATTATTTGCAAGATTTTTAAAAGTGCAGTTGTGTTCTAAAACTATTTTGTGTTAAGAAAAAAATATTGAGTCACTTTGAAATAAAAAAGTTGAGTAGATGGGAATCATTTGATTTCTCTGCTTCGCGAAATTTACGAATTTTTAAGTTTTGTTATTATATTTTTTCCTAGCCTTTTTTGATCTCACTGAGTGAAAAAGCTTTTTATATTAAAATTTTTTTTTTTTATTAGAATCTTTAGGCTGTTTTCTATCATTTCTATTCTTTGGTATTTTATTTCTTCAATAAAATAGTCTGGAAATTAAGCAATTCGATGCCAACATGATGCGGGGCAAAACGAGACATTCTGTTTGTATTTGTTTTGCCGATATCTAATATTATTTTTATTTAACGTTTTACATTAAAACAACAATCATAGCAAATATTAACATTTACATGCTGTAGATTTAAATTTATTATACTGTATTTACTTACTTTTTGTTTTATTAATTGAAATGTTTAGTTTTAATCTAATATAGAATTATGTTTTATATTTTGTTAATTATTGTTAAGGTTATTGCAGTAAACTATAAACAAAATACAATGAATGTTATGTGTACTTTAAATACTTAAGTTTAATATATGCATGTATGGTTTAATAATTCTTGTAGTTGGTGTATGTATATATATATATATATATATATATATATATATATATATATATATATATATATATATATATATATATATATATATATATATATAGTATATATATTACTGTTACTGTAGTATCAGTATCGCAGTATCAGGAATTAGCTAAATGCTAATATTTATAATATTATATTGCGACTTAAAGTTTCATGTGTTACCACAATCATCAGGCAAGTAGTCAAAAGTTA